GCAGGAAGGAAACACAAGTGTGCAAGGTTTCTGCAGCGCTCCCTTTAATTCTTTGCCTTTGACACAGCCAGATCTAGGTCTTTGATCCTGAAGTGCTGGAAAGGGCAGGAACAGCAGTTCCTTCATCACAGGCACTGATGCTTGGTACAGCTGTCTCCTGCAAGAGTCAGCTCAGTCTTCTCTAGAGCCATGGAAGAAGGCAGAGCTGGCTTTCTCTGGAGAAGGGCCCTCCTTGGAGGTGTGCAGCGAGGTTTCCTTGATGCCTAGCCCTCAGAGCAATCCCTGCCTACTTTAGTGGCTCACAGAGGAAAAGAAGCGTCTCTCCCAAGCTGAGAATCTGAGCTATACAGTCGGCAGCTCCACAGCTGGCTGGTGTGCCTGGGAGGGGGCAAGCTTTTCCCTCTCCATTGTGACTTGTCTGTAGGCTGGAAACCTCTCCAGAGATAAATTGGAAGTTGTCGCTGGCATTTCTACTGAGAATGTCAACAGAAATATGTCAGCGCCAGTCATGATACAAACACAGTTTCCCGTTTAGAGCACTGCACCAACTGTACCTAATTAACCTTCATGACAGCCCAGCAATACAAGGAAATAGGGATCATTAACTTCAGCATCGCTTTACAGAAGGGGAAGAGAAGCAGCAGTGCCAACCCCATGCGTTTCAAATTGAGGTAGGCTCAGAAAATCGCAAGGTTAAAAATAACAATAATCCATTTGGGATTCTCAGAGCTTTAGGAGTGCTCTTGAACCAAACTCCAGCTTTTTCTCCAAGAAACATCAGGACTGGAAAGTTCTCTCCCATGCACACTTTGGTGTGACTCAACAACTAAGGCTTTTAGAAAATCACGCATTCTCGATTGCAGTGGTGCAGAGGCATTAAATGAGAGAATGATTTACTCAGAGTTGCTTAAAATTCAGTGGCGAAGCTGAGACTGGGCTGTGTGAGTCACTGACCCTCCACCTCTTGCTTGTTCCTCCAGACCAGACATTTCTCCAGGTAGAGGAACCTGTCTCAGTGCACCAGCTGCCATCACAGGGTCATTTAATGGCTGCCAGAGGTGTCATTCAGGTAGGAGCTGAGATCTCACCCCATCTCACCGCTGCAGAGGGACAGATTGGAGCCAGGCACTGTTTGCATTTTGGTCTTTGAGCCAGCCCAGCTCCTTTGCCTTGGGCTCAGCTGGGACAAAACTGTCCTATGGACGGAGAGCTGTGTGTGCTGCTCCCTCACCTCACCTTCCTGTTTAGAAGAGGCTGCTTATATGAGTTGGTAAGGAGGAACAACTGGTACTAATCCTCCTTAAAGTAGAGTTCTCACCTGGCTGGGACCCAGTGAGGAAGCGCTGCTCTGTATGGTATGCAGCAGTGGGACCCCAGCTCTGCACTGACAGCATGGGGACAGGGAGGCTGTGGGCAGGAGGAGCATGCTGGGTGGGACACCGACCTCAGTGTGGAGAGTCAGTGTTTGTACAGCAGTGTGCTTCACTCTTCTCTTTTCCTCCTCCTTTTTCTGTTCTGAGCTGAGGTGGGGCGAGGCAAAGCTGAAGGGACCCTCAAAAAGGGCAGGTCATTGATGGAAGAGAAAAGGGCTTGACAGATGGTGAAGAGCTTTTATGAGCAGCATGGGCTGCAGCCGGCTCCAGGGAACAGAGTTGTTCCCGTGCTCTGGCTGTGTGTCTGTCTCTCTGATTATTTTGTGTATTTCATCTCTGCTGCCTGTCTCGTCCTTAATCTGGGCTCCTCTGTGCCAACAAAATGCTTAGCTCACTCCATTGTCTGAGAGGCTAATTTGCACTGTAAATCCGATGCTTATCTTACATGACAGCTTACTATGGGGTTTATTGCAGTCCTGAAGACAAACTAACCAGGGCTGGCTGGAGAGCTCTTGACACATCCTCTGGAGTATAGTACAAATACGACTTGTTTCAGCACACTGCCACAATAGGATGTGTCCCCTTGCATTCTGGGGCCATAAGGGATTTCTCTTTTTCTTTTCAAATAGGTTCAAATTTGAGGGGTTTTTTTTCTGTTACTATTAATGTTTTTGGTGGTACAGCCTCTTCTCTGTGTTGGAGCCCTGGGGATGCTCCTGGAACAGCCTCTCACCCTCCTAGGGCGAGGTCCTTCATCCCTCCTCCCCGCTGTCTGTGGAGTGTAAGGACCGTGAGAGTGGTTGCAGAGCAGGTGCAGGCAGCGTTCAAGCACTGATGCTCCAGGATGCTGCAGCTTTGTTGACTCTGCCTAGCTTAATCAGAAAGAACCTTTGTCCTTGTCTCTCTTCATTAGTATTTCCTGACACTTTCTCCAATATGTTGTAGCTCTTTGCTGGCAGAGTAGCATCCCCCCTCAATCTCATCTGCAGTTGCCTCCTCCCCTCTGGTCCCTGGGCTGTCCACCTGCAGGCAAGCACACAGCACCGAAGTGATGTTCACAGTGGTGTCGGTCAGTGAGCTGGGCAGTGGTCCCAGAAATACGTGGAGAGGGCTAAAACCTCAGACAAAGAAGTTCCAGGTAGCCTCAGACATAAGTTTATCCAGGGAGAGCCAGGGAGATTATTGCTGCATTGATACAGCACTTGGTTCTGCAGCTGAGCGCGCTGCTTAATGCCCAGAGCTTCTGCATTGCAGTCCTCTGAGGGACACACAGGATCCTGCTTCCATGGCCAGCAGGAACACGGGGACCCTGTGGTTCAACCCCGCCCATGATGGCACACCCATCCTTCTGGGTGCTGTCCTGCCCTTGGGCTGAAGACAAAAAACAAAAGATGCCTTACTGGCTAAGCTGTGTGCAAAGGCTGGGCAGCTGGCAGCTGAGCTGGAGATGGAGCCAAAAGGTCTCAGCAGCAATGAGGGAAAGAAAAAAAGGACTTAGAAACTGCTGAGGAAAAGCCAGGCGACGTATTGTGTACCCGGTAGAAAAGTAGCTGCTTAGGGTTATATCAGAAAGCCTGTACTGGCCCCTCTCAAGCTCCGTTTTGCTGCCTAGGTGATCAGACTAGTGTGTAATCTAAAACTTATTCCAAGTCACCAGAGCTGGCAAACCCAGGCTGCTTGCAGGCACTGTCCTGAACCTACCTCAGGGATGGCTGCTCCACAGCCCAGCCAGAGCTCAGGGAAACCTATGGCTCTGAACAAAGACCCCCGGAGCTGAAGAGTTTTTAGGACACAAAAATAACTGGGAAAGGATTATCACAGCACCTCATTCAGGCTTGTGCCTAATCTAAATCTCTTTCCTGACTATAAAGAAATTTCCTAGCTTAAACCCCTATGTTAAGTATCTAAAAGTTAGCCATCAGAGTCTGAAGGCTTCTGGAATTGTTTCCTCAGAGCCCCAGAGCATCCCCTTCCCACACAGAAGGCCTGCTGCAGTCTAGGAGTGCCTGCTAGGACTGCTGCTGGTGGTGCACAGCAGCTCCATCCACTTGGCAAGGTCGGGCTGTCCCCTCAGCTGTCTGCATCCAGCACCCAGGGCTGGCAGTGCTTCCAAGGATAACATCTATGCCCTGCTGTTTGCTATCTGGTTGGCTTGTTTAAAAAAAAAAAAAAAGGAAAAAAAGAGAAAAAAAAAAGGCTTGTTTTCCAGCAGTACTTGTGTCATGTGGACGGTGGGAAGACAGTCTCTGCTCCAACAAATTCACGTATTGCTGGGCAGAAGTACACTGAATAGCAGATGTGGTAGAGATGCGGGGTGAAATAAGATGCTAACAGTAAAAGGAAGGCGTTTGCTCAGACAGAGTAAGTCTGACATCTCCATCAAGCAGGGCAGCAGCACGCTGAGGCCCCACACCTCAGTGAGCTACTCGCTGGCATTCCAGCTTTCACAGAGCCTTTGCTTGCTAGCAAAGAAATACACTGCCTGGAACAATGCTGCCTCCAACCTGCATGGAAATGAGAAGGGGTGGAGGCATCAAGAGGGGGGACTAGGTAAAAAATTTCTGTTGCCTGGAATGTTATTAACAACCAAAGAAAGGCTGGCAGTGAGCAGGTAAACATGGGGCTTTCTTCTCAAGGAGCTTCAGAGAAAGGAGGTGGGGAGGACTTGAGTGCTTGGAAGAGGAAACCAGGTGTGGATGTATCAGGGGGCTAGGAGCCCTCCTACTGCACTAGTGCTGTGCAGCCTTTTCACCTCTCTTCTGAGCAGGCAGTGGGTGAGGAGGGGATGCTGCTGCTCCAGGGCTGCTGCCTTCCCAGCTGGTGCTTGCTTTTTTTCCTGTCACAATTGCTTTGTTGTATTTCTGCAATTATTAGTAACTCATCTCCTGTACGGAACTGGCAGTGAATCAGAAGGCAGAGACTCCAAAATATCTCGTCCCACGAAAAGAGCAGCTCCTCCTTTGCTTGGCTCAGCGCTGTCAGATGAGGCAGCGGGGAGGGCTGTGCGGGGGCTGCCAGGAGGGCTGCCAGGCCCGGCTCCCCCCGCAGCAGCACGGCTCGAACCCCTTCTCAGGAGCTGGCGAGCTGTGAGCGCTACGTCTGCAGGGCTGTGGGCAGGTGCGATGGCAGCTTGGGTGGGCACAGCGTGCTGGCCTTCCTCCAGCTGGCACAGGTAGACAGCATGACAGAGCGTATCAACTTAAGCTTAACAGTCTTAACACTATTAAATACAGCGCTGAGCTCTCTGGAGGGCTTGTACAACCTGAGGTGACGTCCGTGTCACTGTATCTTTACTGCAGTTTGCTATCTGTGCGAGCTCAATTACATCTCCGGCAGATAGGTGTGTGTTGCACCTCAGTCCCTCATCTGACATGTGTGCAGGGCTGCCTCCAAACAGCTGCTTCTGAGGGCCTGCGGCCACGCCAGCGTCAGCCGCTGCTGTCAGCAGCCTGTCCCGTGCTGGCTGTGATTTACTGCCGTTAGTCAACACACAGAGGACGGGATTGCATCTCCCGTTAGTGGCATTTGCATTGAGTTGCACACGGGAGCAGGGCCGTGGTGGGAGCGCTGCCTGGGGAGAAGACCCTCAGTCTGGCCCCACTGACTGTCCCTCTTTTTCTCCCACAGATGCCAGCAAGGACCATCCGCAGCAGCAGGCGGGGGTGATCTGGAGAGTGACGGGCGGCCTGTTCAGCATCACCCGGGGAGCGGTGGGTGCCACGCTGGGAGGAGTCGCCTGGGTGGGCAGCAAGAGTCTGGAGCTCACCAAGACGGCTGTGACCAGCGTCCCCGCTGCCGGCGTTGGACTGGTGAAGGGCAGCGTCTCGGCCGTGACCGGCGGCGTTGGAGCTGTGGGCAGCGCGGTCGCTGGCAAAGTCCCTTTCACCACAAAGAAGAAGGACAAGGCTGACTAATCCCTATCGCGGCCTCTTTCCAAAAGGTCTACCTGCCCATACTCTCCCCCACACAGCACCTCTTTGAGTTGGAACCAGCCGCTTCAGGGAGGGTCAAGCACCGAGCAGACTCCGGCTGCAGCCTGCTCAGCACCACCTGCTTGGCTCAGGGCTCCCAGAGCCACTGTCTATGCCTTTCACTCCCATCACCTCCTGGGAACCATCTCTGCTCCGAGGACTTCAAAGGCACAGTTGTCTCTGTTTTGTGGTTTCTTTCCTCCCTTCTGCCTCTTGTAAGCACAGAGGGGTGGGAGAGGCTCCATCTGCCTGGAGCCAGGGACAAGGGGACGGGGTGAGTTACGCCTGTCTTGGGGTGTGGGTTGTGTAGTTGATTTCAGCTTCATCAGGGAAGACAGCCTTTGAAACAACACTTCCCTCAGCCCTGGGAGCTGTGCTTGGGAAGTCTGTCTGGGGGAGAACGGTGGAAGAAAGTTCCACTGACACAAAAGAGAGATACTGTGAAGAGGGGGAAACCTCCCTCCTGCCCTGCATCTCTTAGGTTTTCTTTCAGGGCCCACCCACAAACTGCTCCCAATCACACGCTCCCTGGCTGAATTGCACCCTTCAGAGAAGGAACCCTCAATCTGAACAGAGCAGCTCCAGTTATGATGCCACACAAGAGTATCATATGTCCCAGACCATCAACTTCTGCATGGATTTTCTTGGTGGGAGGCAGGAGGATGAAATCTGCTCTATATTCTCACTGGGGGAGAGAGCTGCCAGTATCTGCCAGGCATCTGTGATGTTACAGCACAGTTCGTGGATGCCCCACTGGTGAGAGAGGAGAGGTGCCCTTACCGTAGAGACACAAACCTGCCTTTGGATTTGACCCTTGAAGTCCTTGCAGTATCCCCATCTGCTAAAGGGGCACTCTGGCTGTAGGCCACCTTCACTCCACAGATATCACTGGTAACCACAAGCAAGCGTGTACCCAAATGCCACCCAAGTTCTGCTCCAGGGAGGGAAGGGAGACAGAGAGCCTCACTCTGCTGTGGCTCAGCACCCTGGGAGCAGTGCCTGGCTGGGAGTGGGACGCACTGCTTTGGGGAACGTGTCCCGGAGGGGCTCCAGCCCGGCTCCTCTGAATCACCGTATTGCACTAAAAGCCCACCCAAACTCTCAGTGCCGCAGAAACCCAGACACCTGCATCCATCTGGGAGCGATAGCCATCCTCAATCTGGCCCGTGATGCTCGGGGGTCAGTGACATCGTGCACTCACACACACGCACGTGCACATGCTCACACTCCACGGTCCCCTGCGATTCTCGGGATGAGGAAAGCCGCAGGTTCCAACATTAACTCTGCCTTCCCTGGCTTTGGCAGGTTAGTAGCCTAGGTTGTTAGCTGTTGGATGCGTAGGCAAGTGAAGCAGTGTTTGTGCTGTGTTTTATAGATATGCATATGTGTTAGCGTGTGTGTACGTAGCAACCCACAGGCATGTTTTCAGCCAGGTGAGCAAAACTGTGCCACTGCCGTGGAGGAGTTCACATCATCATCTTTGGCACTTCTGGCATGTAGGTTTGTATAGGGTCCTTGTCACAATAATCACAGTTCTGAGGAAGATGTCCTCTACGTGGCCCAACAGCTTAGTTTACTGAAACCAAAGGAATGTGAACAATCTCCTTTCTCCTGTCCGTGCCGTTTGTTTACTTTCTGCCCTATCTTTGGACATCGAAGCCAACTTCCTTTGTTTTCATTTCCTGTGCAGGCTCATTGCATTTCCTGGCTGCCTAGGCCTCAAACATCAGGGAATATTTAAGTACGAGTCGTCTCCTCCCCATCCTGCCTGAATGTTCTTGGGCTTGTGAAGCCGTTTTGATTCTGACCTTTATTCAGTCCACATTTTGGGCCTGCCACAAGTCACTGTGTCCCTGTGCTCGTCATGCTGCTGCTAGGTTCTCCCTGTGCCCCTGGCTGGGCAGCAGACCTGCCGTTTGCAGTGGGAAGAGCTTCCTGATCTCCACACTGTTTTACTCTGGATAGCATGAGAGTGGTTTAACCTACATCTTTGTTTCTAAAGAGGAAACGGCATTCAGTATGAGTGCGCATTTCCTCTCCTTGTGTGCTTTGTTCTTGAGAAGGCCAAGTTGACCCAGATGTGTTGGTTATGTCTCTGACGGCAGCAACTTCACAGAAAGATCAGGTCTTGTGTGCCTGCACTTTGCTGGGATGCTCATGGCAGTGAGCAAGGCCAGAAGAAACCTTTTCTGTTCTTCCTTTGTAGCGAATGCCCTGCTAAGCAGGAGGGCAGTTTGCACTGCATGGATCTCTGCTCACCGCTCTCCCTCAGCGTGTCTCATTTCTTATTCCAAATCACAGACTGCTTCTGAATCCATCTCTAGCCCCAAAGCTAAAAGCTGCTTGTGCATAACTAGCTGTGCTGTCACCAGCCCTCTTGGAAAGACACAGTTTCTTACCCACTGGGACTCCTCCTCACTACCTCTCCAAGGCTTTAGGCAGGAGAAGATGCTGTGAAAAAGCTTCACATAACTACCCACCTCTGGACAGATGATGGGGAGCTCATCATGCTCTGGCAACCAGTATCCCACACAGGCCTGTTCTTCTGGGGGAAAGCATTAGGTCCTTCACAAGCTATTGTCTGCAGGCATGGAAAATGTGATAAAAGTGCATTGAGAAAGGCTGTAGGGAACCTAAGGGTTTCCTGTCTTTGCTCTTTTGTTCTTTGGTGAGTCGCTGCAGTAAATGGAGTGAAGTTCCCCGTTTGTCCCCATTTGAGGGATGGCCTGAAGAGGGAAGGAGAGATGTGAGGGGAAATCCCAGCTCAAACTGCTATCCTTTGAGCCCAGCTAATGGAGAGCTCATGCACCATAAATAGCAAAAAAAGGGAAAACTAGCAGCTGGGGACAGAAGATTAAATCTACTCAAAAACCAGGGCCTCCTGCTGCTTAATGAGTGTTCAGGAATACATAAACACACTGGGCTCAGAGGAAGGCCTGTGGAGGTACGGCTGCTGGTGTGCTAGGCCTGCTCGCTTGATCCGAGTGACCCAGTCCTGAGCTGCTCTTCTGGGCACTCTTTGTGCCAGAGCAGAAGGAAACAGCCTTGGTATCCATCACTGTAAGCACAAAGGTGCCTCCTGACAGCATCAGTGGCACGATGGTGGGATCAGATTGGGATGGGAAAGCTGCTGGACACTGCTTTTCTCCTCCCTTCTTACAGAGACTTCAGCCAGCCCAGAGCCCACCCAGGCCACCTCTCACAGCCTCTTTAAAGAAGAGGCAAAGAACTACGTTTTGCTTCGATCCCATTTATACCAGCTGGGGGGACTTGGTACAAGGGGGACAGTGTGAAGGTGGATGGGGGGGGTGAAGGGAGCTCATTCAAGGAAGATTTGGGTCCTGGTGTTAGGAGAGGAAGACGGGGGGAGCAAGAAAGGGAGGAGCACAAAGGGAATTTGATTCTTAGGACAGCCTCTGAATCAGAGGATGAATGTAAGAAAGTTTGCCCTAGGGAAGAGTATGGAAGAATATGAGTTTTGGGGTGTGGTGTTTTTCTGCTCTTGGCTGGGGCCCTGCTTCCACAACAGTGATGATAATGAGGTTGTTTCCATTTGGCTGGATCAGTGTGCCCAACAGAGGGTCCAGGCACCAGGTCAGCCCCTCTTCACTCCCAGATCTCTCCCAGGCATTTGCCAGGATCTCCCCACTGCAGGGCCGGGCCACAATTCTACACACAGCTCAGTGCCCCACCACAGCTGGGCGTTCCCCTGCCCCACAGGCTTACCCTGGCTTGGAAGAGAGTCCATGGGCACTTCCTTTCCTCCCTTTTCCCTTGCTCATCCTGTTAGCGTTCACCTTCTTTTTTTCCCCTCCCTTCGCTTTTCATCTTGCCCTTGGTGCAGAGCTCTCCAAAGCTCCCCCAGAGACCTCCGTTACACATCCACACTCACATTAGCTGGGAGGGCAGAGAGGGTGTCTGCTCCTGTGGCTGCCCTGGCTGGGAGAGGGAGTGCATGTCTTCCACCCCTTTCTGTCTGCTTGTGTTCATGTCTGGAAAATCTTAACCCACTTCTTTCCCTCTGGGTTCTCTTGTTGGCTCTTGTTCCTGTGGGTGGGTCATTCCCGTGTCCCCACTGCAAAGTCATCCTGGTGAAAATAACAGCATGAGCATAAATGTGGAGATGGATGGAGAGAGCCACAGAGCTGCCAGGATGGACGTTGGGCCCATCTCTGCTCCTCCAGGAGCCAAGGAGCCCTTTGCTAACCCGGCACCGTCGCTGCAGCTGTGTGGTCCCATGCATGGCACCAGGCTCCAGAGGACACTTTTGTTCTTTATCATTTCATTGTCTGTAATTGGTTTCTTACTGAATCTGTTTGCTTGGTTTGTTTTGCAGTGTGTTTCTGGGAATATTCTGCATCTCTGTATTTTAATTACAGTAAAATTTGAGGATAAAAATCTTTGTTGCACTGTTTCTTGTTTCCAGTGAGGGAAAACAAGCAGAGGAAGTGCAGTTGAGTGAAGATGTTAGAGATTCCTTGGGAAATCACATCTCTCCCCTAAGGGCTCTAAATGAGGCACCAAGCAGGGCTGAAGCTCAGTCCCTGCTTAAACTGGGACACGACTTTCAACTGTGATTCAAAAGCCATTTTGCTACAAGCAGGTTTCCTGATTAGAATGGCAAGAGCAGTTCTGAGAAGACTTTTAAACTCCATTTCTTCATTTGGTTTAAAGACCAGTGCAGAGAGGTATTTGGTGCCAGGGAAAGGCTAGCTGCCCCGAAACTGGAATCTCAGCAAAGATGGAAGAATTTGCCCCTACAGATGCTATTTCTTGATGCAGGCTTGCGTGGCCACTTCTCCTGGCCAAGGAGAGAAACCTCCTTCTCCCTGCAGCAGTCTGTTTTGACAGCCCAGGGGAGTTTTGCTTCCCACTGTACAGCTGAGAGGAGCCTCACGGAGCAGCCAGACCCATGTGTTTGCTCACTAGCAGGCAGCGTGGGTGCTGGATGGGCACAGCCAGTCACCCTGGCCACTTCTCCCACGGCACAGGTACCTCCCCAGAGCTGCCCCACACTCCTGGGAACACACAGCCCTTGAGCAGGGATGATGGCAGCACGATGGAGGAGCCACCAAGCTCTAGGACTGCTGAGGGAGGAGGAAGTTGGCAGCCCCACAGCCTGTGTCCCTTTTACTGGGATAAGGCTGAGAGCCAACAGCTCAGCATTTGTTAAGTGCTGACAAAAGGATTAATTTAGTAGCTAATAATAGGGCAATCAAGCCATTTATTTAGTTGATGCTTCACTGGTGGTGGAAAATGAAGGAGAAAGTGCCTGGGGTGGTGAAGCTCTCCCCAGAGCTGCCCCCAGAGCAGCCAAGGGCAGTGGATGGAGCAAGCATTCACTGCAGAGCACGCGTGTTCCCATTCTGCTCATAGGGTTACAGTGGGTCATGTCACCATGCAGACAGCATAGGTGGTTGATGAGAGTCATCAGATTGACCACCACTGCTCACCATTTCTCCACCCCTACCCAGCTCAAGCAGGTTTGCCAAATTAAGCCAATTTGCTACATGCCCCTAACAAGCTGACCTTGTGTAGCAGCTGCACCTGTTCCTCCAGAGCTCTTTAAAGGGGGGAGAAGAGGAAGGAGTTTCCCTCCTCATTCCTCTGGGGGGGGGGGGGGGGGGGTGGGCGTCCGGGGGGGGGGGGGGGGGGGGGGGGGGGGGGGTCTGGTTCTGCAGCCAGTCAGTAGAGTGTGCCTGCAGGGTTGGGTTGTTGGGTGGGTGGTGTCCCTTGCTGGATTGGAGAAGTTGGTCAGCAGGCAAGGTTTGAACAGACAGGCATCTTGTGTCAGGCTGAGTGCTCTGCAGCCTTGCAATATTGCTGCATCCCTGTCCCACTGCCCCATTCAGCCCCTAGGATACAGGGTGCCTGGAGTGTGAGGTTCCTGCCTCTGCTACCAGCTACCAAAGGAGATCTCTGTATTTCCAGGAGAATCTTTTTGGTTGCTTGTTCTTATTCTGGTTGTTTAATGACCTGAACCTGGAGAACTTCTCTCTGTAGGGCACAATAATGCTCATGCCAACAGCATTGGATGTGGCATGGGGCACATAAAACCAACAAGGGGGGACAAGTTGAAGGGGCTGTGCTGGGGATGTGGGTCCCTGCTGCCAACCACACCAGCAAGCTATCGTGCCTGGAAATAACCACAGGTTCTTGCTTCTGGCTTCACTGCTTGCATTGCTACAAGGTTTGGATGCTAACGTGCACTTGCCGAAGGAGGAGGCTTGCAGCTCTCTGCCATCCTTATGGGGATATGCTGGTCTCCAACCTGGCCTGACACCACTGCACTGGGAGCCAGGTGGATCTGCAGACATCAGCCACTGCCTGTGGGTGCATCCACCCACTGTACTTACTGAAGTCTTTCAGTCGAAGTTCACCTCCAGGTCAGTTTTATTGCACTTTTATTTACAGAAAACACAGAAATAAAGCATTTGTGTTGGGCTTCTACCAAACCACCCAATCACTTTCTTCCCTTTTCTTTTTTTTTTTTTTCCCTGTTGTGGGATTTTGGCACAAAGAAGTATCACAGGTGTTACCAAACCACCATGTAGGAGCAGCTGACCGCCCGTTCAGCCCCATAACATAACTCCAACAGACATGTTAAACTGAGATCTGAGACAAGGAGGTTGCTCCACGTTCAGCTTCCAGTCTGACCTGGTCATTGTGGGGTAAAGGGGTTATTCTGGAGGGGATGATGCCATTCATAAATTATATTTATATTTACCTCTTACATTGTAAAAGTAAACAGTGCAAAAGTACAGTACCCCAGGTACCCTTCTGTTTGGAAAGCTTGAAGGTTGCTTTATACATTTTGTGTGTTTTGTAAACATTGTTACCCATCCACAGTTCTAGCTCTTGCTTGGAGAGACCCGATTCCTCGTGCGCCCAAAGCGTGTTGAGAGGCAAGAATCACTTCCTCTGAACTCCATTGAGATTCCCGCTCAAGATTTAGTGCAAATTTTGGAGAGAAGACGACGAGAAAGAGGGGTGGGGGGGAACCAAACAAAAGAAAACAAAATAAGGCAACAGTTTGAAACGGTCTGTATCAAAAATGGGGCCCGGCCTTAGGAGAAGGGCAGGAAGTCTCTTTCCTCCACCAGGCTGATGGAGAGGTTCTTCAACTCCTCCTCGGAGCGGGCAGCCCGGTAGCCGAGCTGTGCCAGCACCTGCTGGCAGGCGCGCTGGGTGAACGCCACGATCTCGTAGGACAGACGGAAGCGCCACTTCTCTGCCGTCGCCGCCGAGTTGCGCACCGTCCCATACTTGTGCTTGGATGAGGAGCGGTCCCCTCGCGTGTTGTTCTGTATCCAGCGCTCGACGTTGCCGTCCATGGGGATGCCCAGGAAATCGTAGATCTCCTCGGTCTTTTTCATGGGGTTCCGGGCCAGGTCTTCGTACCGCACCAGCATGTATTTGCCCTTGAGCCATGGCGGCCGGTTGAGGCCGGTGGAAACGGAGTTCCAGAAGTCCTCGCACACCGTGGTGAGCTGGGTGACGTCCAGGTTGTAGGGCTTCCTGCCGGTGCCATCCCAGATCCTCCAGAGCCGGTAGGTGTCTCGGAAGGTCTCGCTGCGGGACGCCAGGATGCCCCGTGGGTCCCTCACCAGCTGGATCACCTTCAGGTTCAGCCGCGGGTCCTCCACCAGCGCCCTCAGGTCATTCACCTCGGGCACCCGCACGGTTTTGATGGCCACGTGCCCGTGTTCCCTGCAGGACTCAGTGGCCAGCGTCAGGTTCAGGGTGCCACACTTCTTCACGCAGTCCCCTTCTTCCAGGTGGAGATCAACGGCACCCAGGGCCTCGCAGACTGGCGGTGAGCACAAGGCCTTGCTGGCTCCCCTGCGGAAGAGGCGGTCGGTGGTGTGATTGATGGGCTGGGGCTTGATGTAGTTCTCCAGGAAGTAGAGGTCGCAGTCATACAGGCTGCGCAGCAGGTCGCGGCTGGCCCCCAGCATCACCCGCCGGTCTGTCGTGCTCTTGCTCTGCGTCAGCTTCGGGATCAGCGTGTACTGTACGTGGTAGAGGGGCTCGAATAAATAGAAGACGTCGAAATGCTGGTTAAAGAGCTGTCCCACGAATGAGGAGCCACTGCGGGTGGTGGCGAGGATGAGGACGTGCGTCTTCCTGGTGGAGAGGTTGTAGGCAAAAGTGGGGCTCTCATCACACAGCCGCTCGGCCGCGTCAGCATCCTGGCTCAGGCTGCAGTTCACGGGGATGGGGCAGCTGTGGAAGGATTTGGCGGTGAAGGTGCGGATTGCCGTGTACTGGATCGCAATGGATGCCAAGGCTAGTAGGAGGACAGCCTTCCAGGAACATTGCATGGCTGGTCACCTTCATGGGGCTTCTTCACAGGTTGTCTTGGTGTCTGCAACCCAACAGAGAAGGCACAGGGTGAGCAAGGACAAGAGAGAAGGACCAGAGCGTTCCTACTACCAGCAAATGCCCTCCCACAGTGCACGCGCATCGGGTCTAACCACGTGGATCCCAGCCACACACTGCAGAGCCTGCTTCAGAGGAGAGGACAACAGCAAGAGGCTGGCACAATTCCAGAGATGATTCCAGCCAGGACTTCCAGAGATATGGAATGTTTTCAGAAAAAGTGTAGGCTTGAAAGCTTCACGAGGTTCTCTGAGCCCTTTTGGAGCCACCAAGACAACACTTTTTCCAAGGCTTCTTTATTTTTCCAAGTCTGCCTATTCGAGAGAGGTCCGGGATGTGCCATCTTCTGAGAGGAAGCTGCCAAGTGGGACCTCTTTCCTGCTCTCTAGTGCTGGCCAGCCACACTGCACCCTTCACACAGAGCCCCAACTCCCGTACTGCGGGAGGACGGCTCGCACACGGTCGCCCGCCCTCCCAGTCTCTGCTTCTATTCCCCGACGGGAGATGCGGGACTTCGGGACGGTGCGGTGCCGGGCGCGCCCCGATCCCGCCAGCCGGCACCCTCTACCCCCCGATCCCATCATCGCTTGTTTCCATAGAAACCGCGCAGTGACTCAGGACTTTGGGACCAGCTGGAAACCGCAACCCAGAGCGGCAGCCGCCCAGGGGGGCGAGGAGGGCGGGGAGCGGGGCGCGGTCGCCCGTGCGCCCGGACGCGCTCCCAGCGGCGCGGAGAGGGACGCGGGACGAGAAGCTCTCCCGGCATCTGCGCTGCCGCAGCACCCGGTGGACAGCGCTGCGGAGGGCTCCGCAGGGAGCGGGTCCTCGTCGCGCTCCGGCCACGGGAACCGCGGGGCTCACGGCATCGCCGTTACGACGAGCGGCGCCCCGGGCGCGGCGTTCCTTCCCCGGGCAGCCCCTCGAACGCGGCTGCGGCCGCTGCGGCCGCGCTCCTTCCGTCCGTGCACGAAGAGCCGCAGCGCTGCAGAACAACTCTCGGCCGGGCACCCGCCGCCGGTCCCGGTGTCCCTCGACTTCTCCCCGCGACGGGACACGTTGCGGACGGGCTGCGGGGCGGCATCCCACGCGGTCGGGTCGGCTTAGTCGCACCCGCGCCTCTGCATACCCCCACAGCCCACTCGCCCGGGACAGAGGCACGGCCGAGCGGCGCGGCTCAGCGCCCGGCCGTGGGACCGCGGCAGAGGAATCCCTGCGGGCGGCAGCGGGTGCTCGGCACCGCCGCACGCCACAGTCCGCGCTCCCTCTGGCTGCGGCTCCCCCCGGGGCTCGCTCCGCTCTCCACGTGCACCGCCGCTCCTACGGCACCTCCCGAAGGACAGGGCTCGGGGCACCGCGCTCGGGTCCGCTCGCTCCTCCCACGACCCCCGTCCCCATCCCGGCCGCGTTTCCGAGGGACCGAGAGATGGTTCGCGCTACGCGCACCCCGCAGGTCGCTGCCCGCTCGGAGCAGCACTGAAATCGCGGGGTTTGTCGCCGGGGGTTCTTTTTTTTTTTCTCTCCTCCTGGCATTCAGCATTCGCCTTCCCAGTTAATTAATCGCTCCCGAGCCGGTCCCGGAGTTTCCTTATCGCAGCATCCACCTGCGCCTGTTTATCTCTCATCTGCTCAACTGCATCGCTCCTCCCGAGGATGCGGCCGCCCGGATCAGCCCACTCCGATGGCGCTCCCGCTGAACGCCCCGCTGCCCGCAAGCATCATCATCCCTGCGGGGCCCGGGGGGCTCCTCTCCCCGAGGAGCGACCCTCGGCCCACGCAGCCGCCCCTTCCCGCAGCGCCGGGACCCGCGCAGCTCCGACCCCCTGAGCTCCGCCGCACCCCTTTCCCTCCGCCCGGCTGCGGGACGGCGGCGATCCCGCCGCCCTCTCCCGGCACGGCGAAGTTGGCGGCCGGCGAAGGGCCCCGGGCAGAGCCGCGCCGCGGGGCCGTTCCCGCCGCCCTTACCTGGAGCGGCGCCGCGGCCAGCTCCCCCCGCATCCCCGGCGGCCCCGCGCCGCGGCTGCCGGGCCGCGCACGCCGAGCCCCGCTGGCGGAGCTCCGCCGAGCCGAGCCGCGCCGCGGGGGCCCAGCGCCGCGTACCGCCCTGCCCGCGCCCACTGCCGGCCGGGGCCGCCCCTCCACGCCCCTCGGTCGCGCTCGGTGGCGGGGAGAGGCGAGGGGAGGGCCGGGAGGGGGCTGCGCTTCTTCTCCCCTCCCTCCTCCCCTTCTTGCTCGCTCCCTCCTTCCCTCCCTCCCTTCTTCCTCCGGGCGGTCCGGCAGCGTAGCCCCGGTCTCTGCCGAGCTGCGAAGTCCCCCCCAAGTTTTCCCCTTTTTTTCTTTCTAATATTTTTACAGTTATTTTTTTTCCCCGGGGGATGTGCCCCAGAGCTCTGCAGTCGCAGTCCAGCGGAGGGCCCTGGGGCCAGTCGATGGATGCGGGCGTGAGCTGCCCTTCCGTTTGCTGGCATGTGCTCGTTTTGCGGCGCACTCTGCTCCTCAGAAATGTACATATGTATGCGTATCCCCTCGGAGGGTCGTAGTCCTGCACCAGGAACCCACCACAGCCCGGGGAGCACTGCCACGAGCATCATAAAATCGTTAAGGTAGGAATCACCACGTCCAACTGCCAACCCACCGCCACCATGCCTGCTAACCACTGTCCTCAGTGCCACATAAACCCCTCTGGTTCATAAACCCCTCTGGGGACAGAGACTACCCCACCTCCAAGGCAGCCCGCTCCAATAGTTATCCCCCTCCCTGCAGCGACAGCCCCCACGGCAGCTCCATGCCCTGTGCCAGCCCTCAGATCCCGCTATTTCACAGTGCTCAGCCAGGCTGCTGACACTCCTCCATACCCAAAGGCTCCCATTCCCGCAGTCCTCTGCAGCAGATTTCCATGGAGCCCTTGTGTTTTCTCCTCTTGCCTTGAGTTATGGTTCAAAAACTGTACCTTAACCACATAACTGCCTGGGAGGGTCTGCCATAAACCAACAGTGAAGCTGGGAGGAGAATGTGCCCATGGCCATTCCCATTGCTCACATGCAGCCGGGGATGGGCACAGCCAGGATCTGGGGTCAGGGGCTGCTGTCGCTGAGTTCTCCCCATCCCCTCCACTCCTCTCATTGGGCAGCAGTGAACTGGATTTTGGATGGACCTTGCCCAACCGTTAGCAGTGGGCTTTTGCTGGGTGGTTGGAAACCAACAGCACTGTGGTGTCTTGCTGGCAGCTCATCAGCAGGAACTGTCCCAAGACCTTCCCATGTGGATGTATGAGCATGGAAAGCCATACCTCGGTGCAGGCAGCAGAGTGCCTGCAGGTGGGTGATGTTGTACACCAGGCACGGCAGACACAGAAATGCACATTTAATATTGGCACGCACACAGAAGCATGGCAATCCCATATAAAGTATCAGGGCATTATACTACTTCTTTCAGTTTTTCCCCTAGTTAATGTGATAAGGAGTCAGAGTTCCATTTGCTAACAGTTCATTTGGTCCCTCCTCAGCCCCAGCAGTGCCAATCCCAGGCTGCAGCTCCCTTCCTTCCACTTGCTGCAGATTTAGAAGCAGGACCCCAGCTGTGAGCCACTGAGCATCCTCACCCACCTGCCTCCTATCCATCTCGCCCTACCCTCCTCCCTAAAGTGCTTGCTGGGGGCCGTGCAGCTCTGTGGGACTCCCACCCACCATCCTACCTCTGTGCTAATGGCTCCAGGTACATGGGGGGGCCTTCAGGGTTGGCTGGGCAGGGTGGGTCGGTCAGTCAGTCTGTCTGTCTGTCTGTCTTGCTGCTGCATGGGGGTGGGCCACCGGAGCATTGTCGGTTTATGTTGCAGGCGACGATGATAATTTTCTGCCTGCTGCCTGCACGCTCTTTAATTAACAGCTTGGAGGATGCGGGGCGAGAGCGAGGTGTAATGAGCGCTCCGTTTGCATATCAAAAGGAGCATCATTAATATCGCTGCTCACAGGGGCTCTCTGAAGGCAGCTGGCTCGTGGGCAGACACCCAGCAGTGGCACCATGTGTCACTATCCCCATGCTGGTGGTACTGGCAGCAGGCTGATGCCCCTGTGAGCTTGGTGAGTCAATTCACATGGGATCCACCCCATCCTGGGGCAGCAGTGTTTTGGCACAAGGCTCAGTTGAAGGCCTTGGCCCCAGGCAGAGGGGAGCTCTCAAGGATTTCTAGCTCAGGATTCCAAATCCAGCAACATCCACCCTGCTCTGTGTTAGCTCTGCTCTGGGGTTGTCCTGCCTGGTTGGAGGTGTCTCTGGGAGATCCTGTGCCCAGGAGGCTGATATGGTGGTGGCTGGGATGGAGCTGTCCTTCTGCCCTGCTGGGGGGCATCCAAGTGAGCAGTCCCGCATAGGTGGACACATCTCTGCAGGATGCTGTGCACTGGTGCTGAGCACCTCTGTCTTATTGTTTCTAGGAAGTCCATGCAAACAAACTCCCTTGCCATCCCAAGGGATCTTCCTTCCTTCTCAACAGGCTTTGTGATGGTGGTTGTTTTTTGGTGTTGTCTCTGTTCCAGCAGCGCTGCTCCACACGCAGCCTTGTCTCAGGAAGGAAAGAGCTGTGCCGGCACACCGGCGCAGGAAGGCTATCAGGCGCACGCAGGCTGCCAGCTGCTTGTTTGCTGTTTGCAGAGCTGCTGCGATTTGCAGCGGGTGCTGCTTTGGCGTGCAGATGGCTGGAAGGCGGCCAGGAGCTGCTGCCACCTGCACAGCGGGGTCACGGTGAGATCCTGCTGAGATCTGCTTCCCGGGGGAATGTCTGGAGGTGCGTTGGTGCAGCAGGAGGAGGATGGGCCGTGGGCATCCTTCTGGCCACCTCTCACCGAGCCCTTGGTGCTGGGCCATCCTGGCCCTGAGAGCTGCTCGAGCTCCAGATGTGCACAGGAACTGCCCTATAAGAGAGGTTGTGCCCAGCTCTGGGGCCTTGCCAGGGAGATTTAATTGACTTTCCTTGGGGAGAAACATTTCCATCTAATTTGGCTCTTAATTAACCCTTGCACCCCAAAGAGGCTCCGCAGCCACTTGTAAATTAAATATGAAAAGCATTATTTATCCAGGACCAGCAGCCTAATGGCTGCGGATCTGACGTTTATGGCTGCTAATGATGATGGATGTGGAAGAGAGGAGCAGGGAGGGGAGCACAGGGGAAGAGTTCTTCTCTCTTAAAAGAGTACAGACAGCCTCACGTGGGCTACTTGCTGGGGCACCAGTGGACTCCTCCCTACTCTGATGGGAAATGGGTATGACAGGAGCACGGGGAGTGGCAGAAATGCTCTTGTGCTGTAGTAAGCTCCATCTCTATGGTTCTGAGCAAGGTGAGACACAGGGCTGGCATGGAGGAGAGGGAAGTGGTGTGTGTTCAATGTGATCAGGCAAATATCCTCCTGTATCCAATGTGGGACGGAGCAGAAGCCTCCCACCCTTCTCACCCTGGGATGGGGCAGCCTCAGCCAGGTGCTGTGTGGTGCTTGCATTGTGCTCCTTCTCAATGGCAGGGTGTCCCTGGAGTGGTGACAGCTGTCACCCTGCCAGATTGCAGGGTGGGACATTGGTGGCCAGCCCCATGCACAAGGCATCATCCCATCCCCATCACAAAATGTCACTTGTAATGGGGAAGCTCTGGCTTCTGTTGACATTTGTGTGTATGGCTAATCCAGCACAGAGTCTCATTGAGTTTCTGGTCTCAAACAGCTGTTTCCTGCGGAAAAAAAAAACAAAACAACAACAACAAAAAACAAAACAGCCCATAGTTCAATCTCATAGTGTACAAAGTGAGATTTTCCTTTCACGTCTCTGCATCTCATCACCTTGCCTCCTGCTCTCATGTAGGTGCTGGAGGACACCGAGCTGTCCTTCCTGGTGCTGCTGTGGACCCCTTGCACAGATCCATTCCTAGGGCAGCCCATGCCCCTCTGCAGCTGATATTGAGAAAAAACTCTTATCAGAAAGAGAGGTGAGGCAGTGGCACAGTCTGCCCTGGGAGGTGGTAGAGTCACCGTCCCCGGAGGCATTCCAGAAACATGTAGCGTGGCATGGAGGGATGTGGTTAGTAGGCATGGTGGGGATGGGTCAGTGGCTGGACTAGATGGTCTTTTCCAACCTTAATGATTCTATGAGGCAGGAGCCCTCCCAGGTCCACCAGGCCCATACATTTTACACAGCAAAGCACATTTCTCTGCTTTTATTGGCACTAATGCAATTTGTCAGTGTGGTTCCCATCCATGCAGTGTGTCAAGGGATCACCAGAGCTCCTCACTCTCTCCAATGGTTATGAATCACCTAAACCAGGCTGTGCTCCCATCCCCTACCCCTGTTCCTCCATCTTAGCCACTAATGACCTACTCAGCAGTGGAAACCAAGAGCAGATCCAGACTCACTGCAGCTAATCCCTCGCCATCCCAAAGCTCAACCTGTTATCCTCCTGCTCTCAGCTCCTCACTGGCCACCCAAGCATGGTCTCCTGCTCCACAGCAGCTGCCAGCACTGCTTTATGTCAAAGGAGCTCTAAAGAAATACCCACCTCGTTATGTCTCATCCATTGCTGGGCTGTGGCATTCGAGGAAATCCAAGAGATTAGTGTGACGTGAGCTTCTTCTGAGATGCACACACTGGGCCATATTATGAGATGTTCTGGTTTTAATTATCATTCCAATCAATTTGGTGCACACAGATGTGCAATTTACTGATCTGTAATTCCCCAAATTACCCCTGGAGGCTTCATCTTTATTGTCGGCACAACATTTGCTTTGTTTGTTTTTGGGGGGAAGGGTTCCGTCTTGGTTTTCGTTGTTACACCTCCAGCCATCTGCTCCCTGGCAGCCCTCTCGGGCCCATTTCTTTATTTCTCATTAACTGTTACTATGTCCTCTTTCAGGCGTTGGTTCCCCCATTATGGCTCCCCCTGTGTGCCTCCTTCAGGGCTCCAGGCCCCATTCCTGTAGGGACGCATGGGGTGGTTGGCCCTGCAGCGCTCGCCGGCA